AACCAACTGCAGAGGAGTTTTCCGACCCTCAGACGCGCTTAGTATGGTGCAACAGAGTATTGAGTATAAGATCCAGTGCTGACAACATGATCAGTAACCTATCACAGTATGGACCTAAAACGGCTCGCATTCTGCAGGAATGCAAGTATGTATATCAGCCAACGACTCAGTTAAAGAAAAACCAATCATGTGAACCACTTAGAGTGGGTTATTTCACACAGGAATTCCTAACTTACAAGGCCATCTTTTAGGTGAAGTAAAACATCTCCTCAGGACATCATGTTCTCAAGGGGAATTAGGTGGGGTATTGTGCTCAAGGCTAACGCTAATGCTAATTGGTATTCTCCGAACTTCCCACGTGCTTCATAACTGGGCGATGCGCACTAAAGCACGAGTCGGTTGTTAATTGGATAGTTACGAATTAACGTAGATGTATGATGATAAGTGAATCATGTGTGTGACCCATCTTTGATGTTCTTTGTTAGGTCCACATGGCAGAGAGCAAGTGCTGTAAGGCTTTTCATTGAACACACCTGTCCAGGCACGTTACCATGCCACCCAGCGGACATCAAAAATGTTTTCAAACTGTGGAAGGTGGGTGCTGCGATGACATCAGTTGTTGAGGAACGTTATACTACTGGGTCTGTAGGGTTAAAAGTTCTTAAAAGGGCTTTATTCCTATCTTAATAGTATTTTTCACAATTATCTTCAATTCTCAAAAAAAGTCCCATTATGAAGCTCGTATTTAGTGAGAACTTCTGACATTGAATTCAGTGTTGAGGCTACTACGATTTAATCCAACAGGCGTTGGGTGATGAGACGGACTTCACAAAGCCGCACACAATGCGAGTAATTGAGAAGTTCCTTGTGGATTGCAGTGAGGCTGTTAGTAAACGGTATACCAGGTAAGGAGACAATGCAAAACATGCAAATGTAAATCTATGGAGCAACATGCTAGTTAACAAGAAGACGTCATCCTACTGCTTGCTACGCAGTTAATGCGGTATTTTCTTTTTTACAGTTATGGTGTAAACACCTGCCCGGTGTGCCTGGAAGGTCTAGCCGGAAAAGACCCTGTTAAAATGCCCTGTGGTCACGTGATTTGCCTGGTTTGTGTATCTAATTGGATCGAGCGAGAACGAACGTGTCCGTTGTGTAAACAAGATGTCCCTGATGATTTCAAAATACTGTCCACCAAGTTCATAAGGTAGATGTAGGGATTTTTTATTCAGTAAAGCAATTAAAAGTTCCTTACTAAGAAGTCGACCTTCAAAAAATGAGTGCGGTGTAAAGCCTCATGCTGACCGAAGGAAGCGGGACGAACTTCAAAGGAAATATAATTGGTGCTCAGTTTCTTCGTATTCTTGATCATAAAGTTTTGTCCACACTCAACAAAACCCTCAAACCGTCTGTTTATACTTACAGGAAAGCTGTTAAAGAACATTATGACTTCCGTCGTCGGTGCAATTCGTTTTTCATGGAACTGGTTTCTTTGTTCTGTTTTGGTGCCAACGCTGGTGATGGTGGGATGGATCCTGAGCTGTTTGCCATGTTCATGAGTTACGTAATAGAAGGTAGTTCCAAGACTAAGGATTTCTCACCCTTCCCAGAACATGGCATTGATGCTACACCCGTGGTGAGATCGTTTCTGCTACAGCAGCTCTTGAGGACAGGGTTAGTTGAAAACCCAGGCACTTTTGATTTCGTACGATCTAATTTAACTGCAAAATTTTGTTCTTATGACCTCTGCTTAGATCCAAAAAGTCATGGTCGATCATTGTTTTTATCGAACTTGAAAATAAAAAAAGCATGGATTGGCCGATTAAAGTTCAAAAAGTCACGTAATATGGATATATAACAGAATGCACAAAGCAACATTAGATCAAGAAACCAAACTAGAAAATAGAACGTATTTGATTCCCTGAAACGTGTTTCAGATAGCAAGCCGTTTTCCTCCTTTGCCCTCAACTAGAGGAAAGACAAATTGTTTAAGAGGTACTGAACTTTGTTTCCTAATTGTATTTGTATTTAGTAATAAGGAGGTCAAAGAGAATTTGGCGCACTATTTATCTGAGGCCCGAGGATTGAGACCAGAAATGGAGCATCTGTTACAAGTTTGTCAACTATTTGTGCACTGTTGGGAGGTGAGCTTTGGTATTATTAGCAAAATGAAATACCCACTGTCATTAGAACTAGAAATAGGCCATTTCCGAGTTTACCTTGTGCCTCTCTTTCAAAGCGAGTCCTCGAGCAAAATGTTTCAAGTCGAATTGAGTTCGATTTGCGTAAAAATGAGGGTGATGTAGCAGCTCTCGTAAGGTCTCACATGAATGGCTTGCTACTCTTTGAGAGAACAATAGAACAAACAACAGAAACAATGCCCCTAGCCCTAAAACA